GACTTGTGATTTGGGGGAACCTTCTGTTTGTCGACATCACAACTTGCGACATCCGCTCTGATGGACAGCATCATTGACTTAAACAAGGCAAAGGCGATGAAATACGTGGAGTTTAGTGACGTCATCGAATTTTGCGACTATTTCACTTAGCCCAGCTGAAGACATTCTGCCTATGCACGCCAAGTCCAACTGTATGTACGAGTTCGCGTGTAGTTGCCGACGCAAGTACATTGGGCGCACGCAAAGGCAAGTCGTTCTGCTGGCAATACGCCGAAATGGCTGCTAAGGGCGGAAAAAAGGGAACCCATGAGTTCAATTCCGCAGCATCTGGTGAGCATTGGCCATACGGTGGACCCAATGACTGCATTTGAATTCATATTTCGGGCGACGACGGGGCGTCTCTTGCGTTTTACAGAAGCCGCTGCAATGTGGAAAGGAAAACCAGAATTCTGTAAGCAGCTGGAAAACGTGATCAATCTAGCGCTGTCATGATAAGGAGCGATAATGAACGTAACCCAATTCTTTCTTCCGTCCTCTCAGTTCCCTTCCCTTCTCCCTATCGTGGTTCATCCGCCTAGGTCGATATTCAGTTGGACAGTTTATCTTGACTAATTAATAGACAATGACCCTATACAGTTCAAAAAGGGGTCACAAAATTCGATGACTTCATTAAATTCTACATACTTATTTCATCACCCTTGCTTCGTTCAAATTTATTCCAGGAAAACAGTCCTTCAGTTATAGTTACCTTACTATCCAAATGATCGCTGTTTTCGAGTCCGTCAATGACGCATCTTCTTAAATGACTAGGGTGCCCAGAGAAGGATGGTCACCTTGTTGGGATGACAGCTGGACACACGACCAGCTGCCGGATGTGACCGCACCTGCTTGTCCACCTTCGCAAAGCCTTGGTGAGCGCAGTAGAGCCAACCCCGGTAACTTCTTTGTTTGAAGTGTGAACCCAGATGGGCGTAGCGGGCAAGTTTCTTCGCCGTCAGGGGATTAGTGTTAGAGGCCTGATTAGTTTCTGTAAAATTAACCGGTCGCGTCGTGACACACATAGACTGCGCCTTTATGCCGGGCCAGGTGTTTTAGTCTAATTTTACCATTGGAACTATATGGATGTCATATTGGAGACGTATGTTGTGTAGGTATTCCCCAGCCCCAGCCCCACAACCACAACAAGATCTAAGTCCTATGCACCTTCTGTCTGGAATACCCCAGTGAACCCGGAACGGAGACAGCTCTGGTCGCAGGCTGAATCGCTAGATGAATAAGGAAAACCCGCCCTCCCTAACGAACGTCGCACTCCCAAAACAGGGCAGTCAGTGGTGGCTACGCCTCATCTTAGAACGACCACCAAGGGGAAGAACGAGGCGGTGCAGGAGTTGTCTTCTGCAACAGCAAGGGCTTACTGAAAGGAAACACTAACCAAATCGTTCCACATAGAACGTAACTCTCCGAGGAGTTTTGAATCCGAATTTCAGTCGTACCGAAGTCGGATAAACTGATTGTTTTTGGCAGTCTTATTACATGAGAAAGTTCAGATCACGCTACTTGGGAACGAATGAGCGGCCGACGCGGAGTCGGCGGCTGTAACAGCAATAAATTCCTTCTGATGAACACAGTAGATGTGCCATCTTTTGAAACTTTAACCGGCATTCTGACATGTGTTTTAGATTTTGACATGCTACTTAAATAGGGCTGTAATGTTACTTGTAGTGCAGCATAATCTTCCCGTATTTCAGTCAAGCCATAAGACTGGCTTTCGAATGAACTTCTTTTCAACGGCAGGCAAAAACTATATTCTGTAAAAATGGCTACTTACGTAGTATGTTTTCCATGGATTTTATATGCCTTTATAAATTCAAATATATTTTATAGCAAGCATGCATAAATATATTCTCTCTTGAAGCCTGTTAGTAGCAAATTATATCTTCTCTAAATTGCACATCTTTCGGTGTTAACTAAGTTTATAATTGTGAGGTTTCTTAGGATCATGAAATGCTTATTTATAAATGCTCATGTCTAGCTATTAATGTTGCCTGTAAAGAATTAAGCTTCGTCTACACCCATTACAGCATTTTATGGGCGCATGTAACGTCTTTCTCATAAAGTAGATAAGTATGTAACTTCGCTGAGGAGGAATATATACAGGATAGAGGGTGAAACCCCTGTAGCGGCAGATCGGGCTCAAAATTATTCGAGAATTGAAAAAAGTTTGTTCAACCTGAAAGGTAACCTCTCTTCAAGCATCGAAAATCAATTAGAAAATGGGTCAAAGTTAAGTTGGTCGCCCACGCTAAATACCCCTAGCTCCTAGTCTTGTAATTAGTTAGGCCAGTTAACACCTAATTAGATAGCACATCTACTTTAAGTCTATGATAAACGCAGTCTTTCTCATGAGTACCGTCTTTCGCTCCATCTGATCATTGGCTTGGGAAGGCGAGAGATTTCGGGTAAATGCGGATAGCAAGAACAATGTCAGATGTTGGACAGACTAGTTCTGCTCGCCTCTACTGTATGAATAGTGAACTAGGTAGGACTACTAGGTAGACCTAAAATAATGCGTTATTATGTAAGAGGAAATCCATGCGAAAACTTGCTTTTATAATGTACAACAAGCATGAATAACTGCTCGATCATGAGACGCGATGTATAATATTA